GCAAACATAAACAACGTCTCAAGGGAAATTTTCAATCACTAGAAATTTTTGATAAAGAGGGTATTCACGTCTTTTGCACAGAAGAGAGATCCAGAGCAACACACAGGTGTCATAACTTCCACTGGTGGTTGTAACTTCCGGCCGAAGTTGCAATCATTCTTCATCTCAAGTGTCCGTTCAATTATATTTTAGTCAGATCGTATGTAACCAAATTAATAGTCTCTCCAGGAAATACCAGAAGCCACAAGACGTGGATGATAAAATTGTACCAAAATTCGTATTTCCATAAATTAAGCAGTGGCTTAGACATGTTAAAAAAGGCTAGATGTGTATATATTTTCTACAAATGATGAATGCTTATGAGTATGAAATTGAATAGCGAGTGGAGGGGGAGGAAACAAACCGTAGCAAAACGTGATCAAGGAGATCGTCTGTGCCAAATCCCTCGATACTGAAATCGATCAATTCCCCACAACTTAGATGGACTGCCTGCTTGGTCAGCGTTTCTATGGTGTAATCCCTGGCCCAGTCATCAACAGGTTTGATCATCTCGATGACCATCCACAATGCCGGATCCTTGCAAATTCTCCGCCAAGGTGTACATACTTTCATTGCGCTGTTGAGTATTTCTGAAGTACGCAATCTATGAAATATATTTACCATCAGTTCTTCAGGCATTTTCAACCAATTTGGAGGTTCCTTTGTTGCCGACGAAGTCTCTGCGGCGGAGGTTGACGCCATTTCAACTTTGAAATGCGATGATTTTATCGATTTGGTTTCATCTTTATCAAGTAAGCGTCGTTTCGGTTGTGGAAAATCAGTTTTTTCTGTTGGAGTCTTGGAGAAGGGTGAACTATAAAAACCGTCCCAGACTTTTGTGTACTCTACAGATTCAGCCCTTCGAAAGAAACAAAATTGCAAGTTCACTGGATTCTTAATTACTTCAAAAAAAAATCATCAATAACTAACTTACTTTTGTCCGATTTAGTTCTATAGAATTTATTTATTTTTATGAAAAATAGTAATCAACTTCTGATTTTTTTTTTACTTTTTGTTTTAGGCAATCAATTATCAAAAATAACAACATACTTCTGATAATTTACAAAAAATAACATCCTACTTTTAGTTGGATTTCTATAATAAAATAAATTGCAAGTGACATTCGGGTGGCTAAAGAGAATGGCTTAGAATAGAAGATCAAGGGGATTACTCGAATATGAAATCATTTCCATAGAAACTCAACAAGATTTTTTTGGAACTATGTCATATGTATGTGAGCATATTCTGTAAGAAGTATTCGGTATTGCTACTCATTAAAAAAAATACTATTCATATTTATGTACTTCTTTTTAAATCCAAAATGGGGCTAATCTCAGCAAGCTCATATAATTAAGCTAAAAGATTGTTTTAAGTTTTATGTAAATACTTCCAACTATCTTCGCTCCTCCTCATAAGCTTGTGAGTGTGAAAACATGCAATTTACAGTTTACATCGACAAATCACAAAACTAATTCGATGTATGTTATTTTTATCAATTAGTAAAACAATTACGAATTCTACTAACTTCAATAACTGGATTGACTTAACCATAATTCCAGTGACCAACTTCCCAGCTTGTCTCATAGCTAAAGACTACATCAAAGCCTAGTGCAGTCAGCCCCCGAAGGGGCCGACCCTGTGCTTTCGCTGATTGAAAGTATCACATATCATAACACATATTTTTCAAATTGAGAATTTTTTCGATTGAAAATTGATTTGATTTGCCTTTGGCTTTGATTGCTTCAATCATTTTGAGCCAAGTTGCAACCATAAGTGTGTCTTAACTCTATTATAGTCCCCAATATTAGACATATGCATCCAAATTAATACGCTATACAACACATATACAACACAACACGTAACGCAAGCCAAATTAAAGTAGATTATAAATTTGTACCAAAACTCCTACCCTATATATTGTTTTTTAGGCTTAGAAAGATGCAATAAATGTCTTTATTTTTTCAGTCATGATAGTGTGTACTTTGTACGTGTGGGACATGACTATGAAATTGCATAGCCATGGGAAGGGGAAGAAACCTAAACCTACCGTGGTGCAATGTGATGAAGGTGATCTTCAGTGGGAAAACCCCTCAATACTAAAATCAATCGGTTCCCATAGCTGAGATCGATTGTCTGCTTATCTCCACATTGTAATTGTATCACAATTATCAAGAGATATGGGAATATCGACGACCTTCCGTATCAGAATCCTTTGCAAATTCTCCCCAAGTTGTGCATACTTTCCCTGTGCACTCTGGAGTATTTCTATGGTGCCCAATTTTTAAAGTATATTTTCCATTGGTTCATCAGGCATTTCTAGCCAATTTGGAGATTCCTTCATTGTCGAAGATACCTCTGAGGTGGAGATCGCTGCCATTTCAACTATGAAATACGATGATTTCACATATGTGTCTCGATTTAAAAAGTTAAGCTTGGTTTGGTTGATCAAAAACCTTGTTTTCTATTGGAGAAGTGTAAATTACAAAAAAAAAAAAAAATTGTGTTTTTGTGTGTTCTTCAACTACAATCCTTGAGAGAAAAAAATATTTCTTGTTCAGTTTATCCTTAGTTATCTAATAAAGCAAATAGTCTACATAAAATAAAAATTACTTTTTCCCATTTTTTGTTTTGGGGAATTTACTTTTTTCAACTGAGAATAGCAACCAACTTCTCATTTCTTTCATTTGGGCACCCGGCTATTGAAAATAGTGATATACTTCTGATTTTTCACAAGAAAAAGCGAACTTTTTAGTATGATGCTATAACAAAAGTATGATGCTATAATTAATAATAGTGTTCATAAACGGGTATACACTACTTCCGTTTCGGAGGTTATAAACGGGTATATGGAAGGTATAACCGTTTTCCCACCACCTTTCAACTTCGAAATTTCCCTAATGAAGGTTATGAACACTATTGGAAGTCATAACCACTAGTAGAGTTATAACAACTCCATGGAAGTGAAAACAACTACTATACGTTATAACCACTAGTGGAATTTATGACAAGTCCATGGATTTTAAAGCCACTACTGGAAGTTATAACCACTATACACTACTTCCGTTTCGGAGGTTATAAACGGGTATATGGAAGTTATAACCGTTTTCCCACCAGCTTTCAACTCCGAAATTCCATATACCTTTTGTTGGGCCTTAGACAAAACTATTCTTATACAAGTGTGGATTCTGCACCTCCTAGCTTGTAATAGATTATAGTGTTAATCCCCTTGGCACTCGTGTATACCCTAGTTACATCAAATGGTCGGTGACACTAAAATCACCAACAATAAATGATGTGAAAGTAAATCACATTTAGGTATCACCTGTTATGTATAACTATACAGAATCAAACAACAATACTCATTTTTTTCGAATTCCAACATCAATATGTTTTTACCAATTTATCACATAAAATATAACGCAAGATATATTCAATCACAGGATATATATATATATATATATATATATATATATATATATATATATATATATATATTAAAACGATAACACGAGATATATCACAGAAAACATATATTAGCATCAAATTAACTTTCTATGCATACGGGAACAATATTGATACCCTCCAAACTCCAAAGATATACAATTTTTTCACCAAATCTTACTATACATTATCCAAAAAATTTCCACATGTTCTCAAAGGATTGATCATATTTTGTCAAAACTGAACTGAGGGCTTGTTGTGTTGAGTTCTATTATAGTCCCATTTTCCAATTATTAGACGTATACATCCAAATTAATACTCTACGCAACACTTATACAAACCAAAAAACATAGATGATAATGCTTTTACAATAATTGGCACTCCCTAAACTACCTTTTTTTATTAGTAACTAAAAATAAGGAGCGAAGTGTCTATTTTGCATTATTGATGGCGTGTAGATTGGCAGTATGAATATGAAATATAATAGCGATAGAGCAACTAGTCTGCAGCCATGAATCTATAGCTGCAAAGTGACTTCAGGGTAGGCTCAGGAGACACTGTAGGGGCAGCTGAGTTGCGTTGTGGTGTAAGTATTGCTGTTTACGGCTGCATGTACGCACCGCAGTGTATGGCTGCGTGTAGGACTGCAGTGCTCAAACACTGAGTCAGATATTCATTGTTGTTCATTTAGGTCCACTCCATAGCTTTAGGTCAACTTGTCTCTAAAAATAGAGCTCCGTTATAATGTATGGAAGCATTTTTTTGACAACTGTTGATAAAAACCTCTCTGGGTCGTCCGTGAACATGGTTTAATCTAATCGAGTGAACCACATTAAATCCTTGTGTTCTTTATTTTTCTTGGCATATTTATTTGTCGTGTTCGTGTGCGTTTATCAGATCTTATTCCTAACATTGTACCTCAGTGTCTGAGGAATAAAAACCATCATGTGATATACACACACACTCGAGAGGCTCATTTAGTACACCCAATGTAGTGGCTTTTGAATAGAAGCGCACGGAGCATAGGAAGCAGAATCACATCGAGATGACTTTATTATTATTAGACAAGTATTAAAGTGAACAAGCGTTAATGAGGATATAATCATTGGAATTGTTAAAAGAGCAATATATTTGAAATTAAACAAATATCTTGAATGACCTTCAGATGTGGTGTTTTATCAATACTCTTCTTCTGCGTAAAAGATTTGGTCAAATTCACTTTATAAATTATAATGTCATAGCTAGAGATACCATAATGTGAAGGTAACACTTTTTCGAAAGCAAAAAGATGTGTTAAGTTTCTGTTTCAATTAAAGTTGTAAATTGTTGTAGATTTTCCCATTTGGGTCCTGGAGACCTGCAGCTAGCATGAAAGGAACAAAAACATATATACCCACCCACATCAAACAAACTCTAAGCAGAAAGATAGATAGTATCTCAATATCTCTAGCTAATTTATCAAAGCTGCAGACCAGCTAAACCCAATCATAGCAATCCTAATCGGAAACCAAGGAACAACCCATATAATCATCAGAGTCATCATTGTATTATGTTGATCAGCTGTGCTTAAAATCTTTGATCCGTTCCACGCACCTTTGTACTAAATTTCCATCAAGATTAAATCTACAACGCATATAAATGTCTAGGGATTGAAGGTGAGGGCATCCGTTAAGAATGGCCTCCAATCCATCATTTGTCATCTCATCACCATAAATCTGTAAATGGCGTAACTCGGGCATGTTGTTTGCAATGGCAACAGCATGATCATCACATGTATATATGATGAACGGCTTTCTGGTTATCATACATATTTTGAAGGACTTGAGCTGAGAGCAATTCCGTCCAATAACTTCAATGTCTTTTGCTTGCATATAGGGACAATTAATGTGAAGTTTCTCCAACTCATGTGGTACCCTTTTGACTCCCCTACTCAGCCCACTGCTCGTCATATCAAAGCAGCACCGAAGGGAAAGACGCTTCAGCTTTCTTGAGCTGGAGCCACAGAAAAGAAACAGATAACAAACATAAACAACAATTAAATGCTGTGAAATTAAAAAATATTTAGGTAGCATTTGTTATGTTGTACTAAGCTGATAACCGTGGTATCATGTTTATAGTCGTGTTAGAAGGCAAACTTTCTTCAGATTTCGAAGGGTTTATAGTATATTGTCTGAATTCAACCAATTTGGGCCAAGTTACAACCAATTTTCATCTCAAGTGTGCCTTCAATTCTATTATAGTCCCAATTTTCCAGATATTAATTAATACTCTATGCAACAAATAACAGAAGCAGATAAACGTAGATCATAATTTCTTTTTTACCATAAAAATTCTTACTCGCTAACATATGAAACTAGGATGTTGCGTATTGTGTCCAGCATGAGTATTAAATTGAATAGCAATCGGAAAGTGAAAGGGAAAACCTACCGTAGCACAATGTGATGAAGGAGATCATCGGTGCAAAAGCCCTCGATACTGATATCTATCAGTTCCCCACAGCTGAGGTCGACTGCCTGCTTAATCAGCATCTCGAGATTCTGATTCGTATCACAACCATCCTGCCATTTGTTAATATCGATGACCTTCCACATCGCCGGATCCTTGCAAATTCTTCGCCACGTTCTGCATACTTGCCCTGCGCTCCTGAGTTTTTCCGCTGTACGCAATCTTTGAAGTATATCTGCCATCAGTTCGTGAGGCATGTCCAGCCAATTTGGAGATTCCTTCCTTACCGACAACGTCTCGACGGCGGAGGTCGACGCCATTTTAGCTATGAATTACGATGATTTTACCGCATTATTTATCGAAAATCCCCTTTTCTATCGGAATAAAATGATTTACAAATAGTCTCCCTAGCCTTTTTCGTGTTTTACAAATTCATTCCTTTACGAAAAACAATATTTTTAATAAAGCAAATCATATAACTTTGTCCAACATTTAAAAGGCAAAAATGCAGAAAAACACAACCATTTATCACCAAAGGGATTCTACCTCAATAGTATTTGGTGTTGCCCTTATTTCTTGAGGCCGATGGTTCAAGTCTTATTGTGGACATAGATGAATTTAAGGTGTAGTTTAGGTTAGAATTGTCGTTTCAAAAAAAAATTATAACTAACATTCAGAAAAACCTTTACATTTTGTTTATATGCAAAAAAAAAACCCCTTATATTGTTAGTCATTTTTCACATTAACCGAAATATCAAGTTGTTTTAAGAAATTACCGGTTGTTACATTTATTTTTTTTCGTTAAGTTAACACAAAAACAAAAATAAGTGATGTTGTTTCTTGTCTAAGATAAAACACGAGAAATAGACCATTTACTCAACAACTACTTTACTCAAACAAATATAAGTGATGTTGTTTATTTTTTTCAATGTCAACCTAAAACAACATAAATTTCATGACATAAAACAACCGATAACTTCTTAGAAAATTGAATATTTGGGTAAATCTGAAAGGTAATTGAAAATATAAGGGTTTTTTGTATATAAATAATTAGTAATGGTTTTTTCTGAATGTTGGTAGATAAATGGTTGAGTTTTTTATATTTTGTCCATTTTTAAATTAGGGAAATTTACTTTTCTATTTTCGAAAAATAAGAACTAGTATATGATTTCTTTCGTTTAAAAAAATGATAAATTATACCATCTACGGCCAACGTCAACCCACCCCAAAGTCCAAATAGGAGGCCAGTTTCTTTAAATTCATTCGACGCGGCCAACATTTATCAACATAAAAAATTAAGTAAACTTTTGAATCTCCACCTGCAGGTTGACCCATATAAATTTCTTCATCATTCTCCCCGTGAAGAATTCCCGTCTTTACATCAAGTTGCTAATCCAAATTGTGATGTGCTACTAACGAATAAATAAATTCTATTTGACTCTGCATGTTCAAGTGACTCAATGAATAAGATAGACCGATCCATTTCCAACTTCTCAAAGATTCAACCCATAAGGAATCATTACAAATCTCGATAATTGAAAAAGTTTCCTACTTCGACATCATTATTTGAGTCAAGTTTTACTTTTACAGTAATGTCTACATTTGATTATCATAAGAAATAAAAATTTATGTTTCTTTTCGAATAGAATTATCAATGATTTAAAGCAAATAAGCTAAATTGATCGAACAATAAAAAGAAATATCATTGTTAAATATTTAAATTTGAATATAGATGTGTATCGAACTACTAGTGACAAAATCGCATTGTGATCGATCCTCCTTTTGTCTATAACCGTTAGCTACGAGTTGTGCCTTGTACCATGTTGACTTGGCACCCGATAACCCGATTTTATTCTTGAAAACTCATTTGCACCTGAAGACCCATTTACCATTTGGTAACTCTACAAGATATCATGTCTTGTAACATGTGAACCACATGTCATGAAAACCATATCGAATCGGGGACTTACTTATCTCCTTGAGCTATAGAATGAAATTGAGTTTTATTGACACCTTCCGAACATGACCCACCTCTCATGCAAGCTAACCTTAAATCTATTAGACTTTGTAGACATGTATTTTCGGGCTATTTAGTGGCCCAATTTGGTCATCGTTGAAGTTGTTTCTTACCACAATCGGACTGCCATTAGAAGCTATTCGGGATGAACTATGTGTGTAGCCTCGAACACTATTTTTTTCCTTTCTTTTTGGTTGTTATGAACATCTAAATAAAAACTTGTTTGGTTGTTTTAGTTAGGTGTGAGCTTTTGTGAAACAACCCAAAAACAGTGATATTTTTTTTTTCATTTTAAAAACCATTAATTCCGTACGTCAAATGTCTCAACACAAAAACAGTGATATTTTTTTCCTTTCTTTTTGGTTGTTATGAACATCTAAATAATAAATTGTTTGGTTGTTTTAGTTAGGTGTGAGCTTTTGTGAAACAACCCAAAAACAGTGATATTTTTTTTCATTTTAAAAACCATTAATTTCGTACGTCAAATGTCTCAACACCAACCGTAATACAATATGTCAAATCATCATAGTGAAAATAATCATAAATGCGGAATCATGAGGGAGATGCGATGCAATCACATCGGGCCCTTCCCTTTCGAACTGGAAGTACCTGAAATATAAACCACATAACCGTAAACAAAAAGCCTAGTGAGTTTACCCAAAATACTACATGCCATACATACAATTTCCATGGGCTACCCCCATGGTCTTTTCCATGGAATGACATGAGCTACCCTAGGGTCTTACAACCAAGTATCATGGGCTACCCCCATGGTCTTTCCTTGAAATTCCATGGGCTACCCCCATGGTATAACATCCAAATGACATGGGCTACCCCCATGGTCCTTCATCGATTTCCATGGGCTATCCCATGGTCTTTCATATAAATGCCACAGGCTAACCCCAAGGTCTTCCATGAAAGTATCACAAAGACAACTAGCATCCCACACAATCCAATGGGTCGGCATTGGTGCCTTCGACCCACAAGTATAGTGAGAAGACTCACCTATCAGTTAATGATCAACTGCTACTTCTCCTACTGTTGAGAGAACAGATGCAATATACCACCTATACAGCCATACAAGGTACACCCTTAGCTTACCTTTCAAAACTATGGGCTTGACCAAAAGTCAAATCAAGCCAAAAAGTCAACGGTCAATGTTAACTCGCCACATCATGTCCATCCTTGGGTCACGCAAAAACAGACGCAGTTTTCCCCGGTCGCCATGTCGTGGCAACCTAGGGCCATGTTGTAACATCCGGGAATTTGGGTATATCTGTTTAACCCTTCCTCTTCTCCAAATTGTCAAGAGAAGCCCCTTTATGGAAATGTTGCAAAGGAGTACGCTGCGCGTACTGAAGAGTACGCTGCGCGTACTCATTCGCTTTTAATAAACGCGGACTCCATGAAGTACGCTGGGTGTAACCGGCCCAGATGCAAAACCCTAATTTAGACTTGAGCCCTATATAAAGAAGGTTATGGCCTTATCCTCAGCCACCATTTGAGTGAGTGAAACCCTAAAAGAGAGCCAACCTTCGTTCTAAGCTTGTGTGAGTGTTTTTGGAGCTAAAGTGCCTTTGTGTGTTAGTAATGAAGAAGAGGAGATTCTTGTGAAGGCTAAAAGTTGGAGTGCAAGCTTGGATCTGAGTTCTGCAGAGGGAGAAGCTTCACTTGGAGGTAAAAAGCTCAGAACTTTCCTTGTTGTTATGGTTGTGTGCTTCTTGGACCAATTTTAGGGTTTTTGGTCCCAAGCTTGAGGCTTTATGAGTTGATGCACTCCAGAGCTTAATAACATGTCCTTTTAAGTGTTTCTTGTGGTGGAGAACCATAAAAATAAGGCCTAGATCGTGTGAATCTACCCATGCATGAGTTATGAGCACTTTGGGTTAAGAAAGCAAGAGTTTTCATGTGTTGTGGCCTTATCAGCCATGCAAAGGCTTAAAGTTGTTAACTTTATGGAGTAAGAGATGTTAGGAAGTCCAGATCCAAGAGTTGAGCTAAGGTCTTAACGGGTTAAGACCCAGAAAATGGATTAAGCAAGCCTGATGGTACGCGCCGCGTAATTCCAGTACGCCCCGCGTACTGGGTTGAGGTCCCCGATCAGTTCCTTGAGTGTTTGGGTACGCTGAGCGTACCAGGGGGTGTACGCCCCGCGTAACTCCTTCTGGGGGTTTTTGGGCTAAGCATGTTGTTGGGCCTTGAGTGTTGGGCCGGGAGTTTGGACCTCATGTAATAGAGTCTTGGACTAGAGAAGTGTATGTATGTGCTTTGGGCCTTTGGTTTGGACTTGCCTTTTTGGTTGGGATTTGGGCCGTGTGAGGGCCCATTTATTATTGGGCCTTGGTAGGCCCAATGGACTTAGGGCATTAATGGGCGGATAGGTGGTCTATCTTTAGACCCGATAAGTGAGAGGTTGGACTTAGCTCCTAATTGAGATTATTGTGGGTTTGGCACAGAGTTAGAGTCTGGTGCGTAGCAGCAGTGATTATAGGAGCTGTTCTTCATCCGAGGTGAGTCTTCTCACTATACATTACCTAGAGTGGTATTTATGTGTAGACCAGAGGGTCTTGTGTGCTATGTGTATGTATGAGATTATGTGCATTGTGATATATGTATGCTATGTGTTGTATAGACCGGACCGGAGGGTCCAACGATATAGACCGGACCGAAGGGTCCAACGATACAGATCGGACCGAAGGGTCCAACGAGCTATGACCGGACCAGAGGGTCCAACGAGCTACGGGACTGGAGGGTTCCGCTGAGACACATCGACCGGGGGGTCGTACTGTAGCCTCGAGTGGCGTATGTGTTGTATGTGGTATTTTGGGGAACTCACTAAGCTTTGTGTTTACCGTGTTATGTGTTTTGTGTTTCAGGTTTTCTAGAGATCGCGGGACGGCACCGGCTTGATTGTACACACCAGAGAAAGAGTTATATTTTGAGGATCCTGGATTATTAATGGAGTTGTGCTCTGTAATTTGAATAAACGAGATTTTATACAATTTGTTATGAAAAGTATGCGGTTTTAAAATGAAAAATTTGTTTGAAAATTTACGGCGTTACAAGTTGGTATCAGAGCCTTGGTTTGAGGGATTCGGATGCACCTTCGGGTATATCTGGACTCAAACTGAGGAATTGAGGAAAATTTTCAAAATAAATGATTTTTTTCTAAAACGAGCAAGAGTTCCTAAGAGAAAACGAGAAAGAGCAGTGTGTACAATCAGCCAGAGCCCGAACGGTGATTTCCTAAAATACCCTTACCTTATGTGTTTATGAGATATTATGAGATATTATGCATGCTAGAGATAGGCTAGGT